CTCTGCCCCCGCAGCCCGGGATTCCCCCGGGAACAGCGCCGGGGCCAGGACAGCTTCTGCAGGGCGGCGAGCGCAGCAGGGCAGGCTCTCGCTCCTCGGCTTCCTGCCTTTCTCTGAGATAATTTTTTTCCCATTAAACAACCACTATGAGCTGTTTCTCTTCCTAATATAGCACGCACCACCACGCTCATTGTTTGTTTGTGTTTTGTTTTAGTTCCTTCCCTACTAAAGCAGCGTGAAACCCATTGTATTACCTGCCTCCCCTCTCCACGCCTCTCACTCAAACACCACCAGGTTTTCCTTTAAATGAAAAGCACTAAAGCAGTTATGAGATTCCTCGCGCATATTTGGCCGATGGGAGTACCTGGAACCGCCCGGCCCTTGGCTTGAGCCTGTAAATGCAGAAGGTTTGGAAACCAAGATCTGAACCAGCTCTTTGGTTTTTAGCAGCCTTGCCGGGGAGTCCATGGAACAGATACAAACCCGCGTCAGAAGAAAGCATCTGGAGTCATTTTTAAGCCTATTTCAAGTATCGTTTGTTATTTTTTCTCCTAAAAAGAGAACTTCAGGTTCTCCCAGACCTTCTTCCGGACAGTTATGCTGATTAACTCATTCCCCAGGTTTCCAAGTCCTGCCTCATCCCTCCTGCTCCCGCAGCGCTGGTGCGAGCAGCGAGGGCAGGTACGACCCCGCAGCCTTGAGGCTGGCACAAACACCTGATGATGCTTTCACTTTTTCAACACTAATCAAAGGTTTCCATGGCAACCTGCAGGAGCAGGAAGAAGATGGGAAATTATAGGTCAGCTCTATCACTGAAAGAAAAAAATTATTCAATTCCTTTGCCCTCGAAAAGTTTCAAGGTGACCTACAAGTATTGATTAATCAGGTTGCATAAAGGCAGAAAATACACGCGAGAGCGGTCTTCTATTGTAGCGAAGAAATAGCTTTTAGTCCTTTAATATTAGGCTTGGTCTGGAACCCAGCGAGGAGCTTAACCTCCGCTCTGCCGTCTGGACAGCCGAACCCCATTCCCATGCCATTAAAAGCCATTCCCAGTAGGGTGTGGGTTCCTCCTGCTGCCGCGGGGCCGCGGCACGGCAGGGAGAGGGGAGGGCAGGGGTGGGGGCGCGGGAAAGCCCCCCTCCCTCGCTCCCGCCCCGCTCCCTCGCGCAGCCCTCGCTCCACTCACACGCGGGTTTCCAGTTACTCGCCAACCAGATATGACTCAACACCGCACACACACACACAAGGAAACTTTTCTGCCACTATTAACTTTCAGAGGAAGTGGAAAAAGGAGAGAAAAACATATCAGTCATAAACGTACTTTGCCAAGTGGTTCATGAGCAAGTGCAGCATCTGCCTGTTTTTCTCCGGGAGCCGATGAACGAGGCTGTGGATCTCTGACACCCGGGACTCCTGATTCTCCAGTTCTGCATTGGAAATAGAAGATGATTTATCTCCGCGGGGGGGTTGTTCTGGGAAGCGGCATGCGGGCCCGAACACTACCACCGACAGACCTCCTGGGGACCCCCTCCACCCTCCACCCAGGCACGCTGCGGGGCCCACCGCACTTTGTCTTTCTACCAATTCCAACCAGTTGTTGCCAAAAGGAAAAAACAATGGGCTGAAACAGTGAGCTGAGGAAGATGCCAGCCATGTGAAAAGCCAGCTGTGACCGGGGAAGGGGCTGGCTGCAACCAGGGAGCTTCTCCTTATCCAGCAACGGGAACGTCAGCACGTTCCCATTCAGTGTGTTCCAAAGCACTGCACTTGTGTGCGCAGCACAGCGCCCGGCCAGGCTCTGGCATCTGGTCCTCAACAAGCTGGTTGGGTCCGCAGGTGCCCCAACAGCCTCAGCAGGAGCCGCTCGAGGAGGCCACCCCCGATGTGGCCACGTGAGCCCTCCTGAGCCCCTGTCCCTGTGCCCCAGCACAGGCTGCACGGCCGCCAACAGGGAGTTACCTGCTCTTGTACAAAGCGCCCGCCCGGGGCAGTGAAAAGAAAGCGGCACAGACATCTGAACCACAACCGATCTCATCAAAACACCAGAGGTGGTGTTTGATCAACAGCCTCACTCTTTTTGGCACATGATGGTCAAAATAAGAGAGAACTGCAGCAGCAGCCCCTGCCACCAGCGAGCTCTCCGCTCCCCCGGCACCGTCTGCCTTCCCTTTTCATCTGGTTAAGTCCCAAACAACAACGTGCCCCTTGTCTCCCAGTCCGTATTCTGCTTTCCGGGACTTAAGAACAAGGAGGTCGGTGGGGAAGCACCAGGACAGAGGTCATGCTCAGTGACTTGCAAATTACGCTCCTTTTTCAGACCGGTGTTATAAACATCAACAAACTCACTCGCTGCTTTGATGAAGCTCCTTTGAAACTGGTACATCATGAGCGGCCCCGGAAGCATTCTGGAAGATAAAACGGTAACACACACAAAACACATCTCAGTAACACAATCCATCGAAACAGAGCTTTGCCCTTACCATAAATTCAGCTCCATTTTTAAAAGTGTAGAATTAAGCAATCGCAACTCTAATTAATTCCCCCCATCAGAAGGAATAAGATCTATTGAAGTACCTTTGATTTATGCTTCCTCCCTTTTCTGCAACACACTAAATTAATTTTTAATTTTAGCATTCCTTCAGTAACACAGTAACACAGAGTTTCAGTACGTTAGTGAGCCCACGATTTCCAAGTGAGTTTAAAAATAAATTTAAAAGAGAAACAAGCCTAGTCATAAAACTTTAACAGTCCCCATTCCCATTAAATCCCCCATTCTGCCCTCCCACTTCCACATCCCTTCAACGGGACATCTTGGTGCTGCCGACAGCCTTCGCTGCTTTGCAAACAGTTCAAACTCTGGAGCAAAGGTTGCCAATTGTGCAAAATTATGTAGTGTTTTATGATTTTCTAGGCTGAGATCCACCAAGCTAATTATACTCATCACCCTAATTGGGTTTAGCCTCTCTCTCGTGTGCGCTCTCTCTCAAATAAAACCCAACGCAGAGCAGAGCAGCAGCAAGAAGCTGCAGTGGCGACAGGTACGAGCATGTTGTGGGTAATAAGATGCTGACTGCTGCCAACACACTCACTCTTTGGGAAGATACCCCACGACAACGGCATCCCCTTGCCTACAGAAACTACTGCTGCAGCGAAGCTCAGCGCCCCGCTCTGAAAAAGCGCTACAGCCACAGCCCTTAGAGGAGCTCCGCACTCACCTTCTGCCCCACGCTCACGAGGTGGAAGCCCACCATGGAAAGCTTAGGGAAAAGCTTAAATGGAGGCAGAGGACACAAGAACGACACACACATCTGGCAGACAGCTGATCGTGCTCCCCAGATCCTACTCAAACATGCCGGAGGGCCAAGGGAAAAGTCAGGATAAATCCTCCAAGAGCAGTTTCTTCTTTTGTTTCTATTTAAGTGCTATTGTTAAGGATCTGCAATAACAGGCAGTAACGCCCCAGAGCATCACCGGATCCACCCTGAAGCCCCACGACAGACGGGGCTTTTCTGCCTTACCTCAGGTAAGTTTTCAGTGCACTAGTAATGGTCTTTATCTCCCACTCTGCACAGATCTCTGTTTCTGTTTCTGTGGCTGTTTTGGGATCTAAGGAAAAAGACAAAAAAGAAAAACCATGAACCAAAGTGAAGATAATACCAGTTCACACCAGCTCACACCAGCTCAGCTGTGTGGGAGGACTGTCACGTCCCCTTTTATTTGCTATTCCCCAGCCCAGTGACCACAAGCTGATCCCCAACAGACACTTCTGCAGGGACGCGGAGGTTGTTACACGAGATGGGCCGCACTCACTTGCATGGGTGAAGGAAAAGAAAAGAAAAACATTAAATATGAGCAATGAGATGGGCAGTTTGACTCAAAGCGTGACATTACACAGGGCGCAGGAGACTGGTGCTCAGCGACAGTGGTGACAGAGCGGGGCACAAACTCGACACGGACCCAGACAAACAGAGACCCCCCAGGACTCAGCAGAAAATCCCAGCCCCGAGTAGGCTGCAAGGCACTGCCACAGCTGGAACCGCCGTGATGAGCGACAGAAGCAACGGTGGCACGGCCTCTGTGACAGACGGGGTGGCGGAGGCAGGAGCCCTGCCTGGGTACGCAGGGGGACAGGAGGCGGCTTGTTCTCCTGCCCAAGGTGGGGAAGAGTTCCCGGAGCAGCCCGACCCGGGTGGAGGGTGTTGGAAGACAGCTCCAGGAACGTGCCACCAAGCGCCATCCTCGCCAGCCCGACGCTGGCCGCGAGGTGGCCTTGGACCGGGAAGCTCCATCGCCTCCTGGAGCAGGAACGCCTGCAGGGTCCCCGGGGACCACCACGACCCGGGAACCTCTCGCTGCTGCTGACGTACATGGGGGAAGCAGCGACACTGCCTGGCTCGAGCTGTGCTGGTGGCGAGGGAGAGGAGAAGCACCCGGGGTGTTTTGAAGCAGTGCAGGGCACAGAGCGCAGAGGCTCCACGGCAGAACCGCGCTGCGGTTTGTTTTGTCACCGCTGGCCTCTTGATGTCATCCTATTCTGTTCCTCCATCCTCCCCACCACAGGCTTTTTCTTGCCATCTTTAACTTTTAAACGCCCGATTCGCCCTCCTCCAGTTCCGTAGCAGCCCCTGAGCCAGCGCGAGCACCGAGCCTCGAGGAGCATCGGGTACGACGGCAAACCTCCCGGCACGGGGGAAACCCAGCCCAGACCTCGCGACAAACGAGACAGCGCCAGGCCCTCAGCGTGGAATGTCAGGGGGTGATGGCAGAGACCGCGCGGCCATCCACGTCGACCCACCGCAGCCCCTCGCCATGGCTCCTGCCCGCCCTGTCCCCAAGCACGGCACACATCACTGCGGAGAGCTGGCTGCCAGCACGGCCAGCGAGCGCGGCTCTCGCAGTGCTGGGGAGGAGGTCTCCAAGCTACAGCTGATGTGCACACACCTCTGGCACTGCCGTCCTCCAAGGACACTTCTTCCCAGGACCTTGTTGCCACCATCGAGCAGAGGCGAGGTCCGAGCTGCTCCCTGCTCACCCTGCTCCTCCAGGATTTACCCTCCATGGCTGCCTTAGGTACAAACATGAATGGATCTTCAAAACACTTTCTGGCAATAACTAGTTTCCTTCCAGTGCCTAAAGGGGCTCCAGGAGAGCTGGGGAGGGACGTTTTACAGGGGCATGTAGTGATAGGACGAGGGGGAATGGCTTTAAACTGGAAGAGGGGAGATTGAGATGAGATATGAGGAAGCAATTCTTGGCTGTGGGGGCGGTGATCCCCTGGGGCAGGTTGCCCCGAGAAGCTGTGGCTGCCCCATCCCTGGAGGTGTTCAAGGCCAGGTTGGACGGGGCTCGGAGCAACCTGGGCTGGTGGGAGGTGGCCCTGCCCAGGGCAGGGGGTGGCACTGGGTGAGCTCTAAGGTCCCTTCCAACCCAAACCCTTCTGCGATTCTCCTGATAGCTTTGGCTCTGACAAGTGACAGGGAGGGATACCTGACAGACATGACGCCGATGTCGACTACATTCCCCAGGTCCTGGCAGGTCCCTGGGGCGGCCCTGGAGCGCGTCCGTCCAAGCAAAGGCCAAACCAGCACCCCAGGGCACACGGCGGGTCTGACGGCAGTACAGTGCCACCAGCTCAGTGCCACACACAGGCTCAGCCAACCCTTCGGCACTCGGCATCAGCAGAGATGATGGCCGTGGCTCGGTGCAAGGGGCCCTGGGCAGCTCAGCACCTCTGTGTGCTCTGCGCTTCCCGCCCCCGGCACCGCTCCGTGGGAACCACGCACCCGCACAGCCCCGACGCCAACGTGTCCAGAGGAAATCCAGTCCCATGACTGGTAACTGGCCGGGTGCCGGCCTCGTGCCCCGCCATGCTCCCGGTGCTACTGCCGAAGCCGCCCTGCTGCCCTCTGGTCTCCAGCTCTGCACAGCGCGAGCGTCTGGGGCCGGGGAGCCCCTGAAGCGCCTCTAGTTTTATTGTCAAATATCACAGCATACTTTTCTCCATCTTCTCCAAGGCCTTCACTTCCTTTCTACATTTTTTTCCCCCTCCTATCTCTCCTTTTAAAAATTCCTTTAAAGAAATCAAGAAGCCACGCGGCTGTTCTGGACGCTGTAAAGAGGAGGCTGCGGAGCAGCAGCCCGTTCCTTCCCCAGGTGGATCCGAACCCGCCGCCCGCAAACCGTGCTCGCAGGAATCTGCCGCTTTCGGCTTCTCCCTCCTCTCTGCCACCCCCACCCCGGTCAGGAAGCCAGGCGTGTTTGCACGAAGTTCCGTACTGAGATCAATAAGGCGCTATTTTTACTGATTTCTGTGAAAACACCTTAACGCTTTGACAACAAAAGAGCCCTCAGGAAGCAGTGACCGCTGCCTTCTTCGGCACCTCCACCCACGCCGGGACCCCGCCGCCGCGGGGGGCTCCTCGGTGACCGCCATCCGCACGCCCGCCCCTAGCAGACACCAACGCCGACGGCATCTTATTTTTAAAGCTTTGCTGGCAATTACAGCCAGTCGGCTGGAAAGCCACCATCACATCGGCATTAAGTGGCCCGGCCGTGGATACACCACACACGGTGCCGAGGACCAAGACCAAGGATGGCGACTGCGCCGTGCCAGGAGCCAGGAGCCCCGCGCCGGTGGCGGTGGCGGCAGGGCAGGAGGGAGGAGCAGGGCACGCACGTGCCCCGTTTGCAGGCGTGAGCACATTGTTTCTCCCCTGCTTGGATGCTCCTTCATGAACGCTCTTTGCCCGCTCGGTCCTGGCGCATCTCAGCACTCCTGAAGGCTTTGACGGCACCGAGCCGCGGGTGAGCGGGACCTGCAAACACACCAGGGATCCCGCTCCCACCAAAAACCTCGGGAAACCTCTGCGGGGTCCTCAGGAGACACCGCTATGGGTCCTTCCAGCGATAGGGCCGTGCCAAGCGTCCCCGGAGAGCCGGAGCAGGCGCAGAGAGGCACTCACGGCGGCCAAGGCCAAGCCTGACGCCAGATACAGCTGCCGACACCATCTGGTCCCACGGATTCAGCTCAGTGGGTATTTGTCTCTTCACAGACACTATAATGCGCTTTTGAATTTTAAAGCAATAGGTAAGCATAGTGTAATTTTAAAACTAATTAAAAGAATGCACTGAATAAGAGTTAGGCTTTCCCTTAGGGCAGAGGGTTTATTTTAATTAAAAAAAAAACATCAAGAGGAGCACTTGAAAAAGTAAACATTTAAGAAATGTATATTCACAGAAAGATCACGTGTCGCTCACAGCAATCACCCAAATGAACACCATCCTTCCTCCGCGATGCCACAGCAACTTCCTATTGCACCACCTTTTTAAGGAGGCAATTTCAACAGAGTAAAGAGAAGCTTGGCATAGTAACAAAAAAAAACCCCACCAAAACACACAAAAAAACCCTTTTTTAAAAAAAAAAAACAACTTTGTTTTTAAAAAAACAAACCCTTTTCAATAGCAAGGCCTTCAGCAAAGTTGAACAAACAACTCAAGACTGGATGTCTTTGCCAAAGCTCATCCAGGAGTTTATAGGCATGATTCATTCCCGAAACACTGGGCGAAATTCTACGGTCGGTCTCATGAAAAGGCTCAGCGCAGTTAATCAGTTCCCCTCGACCTTCAAATTTATGAGTCTGCAAGAAGTTAGCTTTGTAGGTTACAGATGGAGCATCTGCCTCCCTGCTAGAGAAGGCGGCAGCCAGCCCCACCGCGAGCTCCCGTCCCCGCACAAGGACACGCTTCCCCGGGAACTGGTGTCACTGGGAAACCCGGCAGTAAAAACACCCACAGGGCAAATTCGCTATTAGCCCTGGAGTTGCTTATTGCTGGAAATCACCAATCTGACATCTCTTAGTAGATACGGAAAAGGCTGAAGGGAAAGGGTGAAGGGAAAGGGAGCGGAAAATTAACTTCCCCGAGCTTTTTATTCCAGCAGAGACTGCAGGAAGCACTTTGCTCACCCCACGACGCTGCCAGCCACGGCAGCATCACCCCACTCCCGTTCCACACGGTCACAAACGCCACACAGGACAGCGTTTCCCGGCTCCCCCCGGGCGGCGAGACCAACACGGGTTATCACTTACAGCCTCACGCAGGGGATATTTGTGGAAAGAAAAGGGAGCTGCAGCACTCCACATCAAATCAAGAAGAAATAAGAACGCGCGTTTCTATGGCAGGACCTACATAGAAACTCGGGGGTGGGGGGAATCCATTCCCACTCCCACTCCCCAAATAAGGGGATTTGTGTTGCTGGTTTGTTTTCTTCCTGGAGGCAAACAGCAGCAGCAGCAGAGGGGACGGGGACACCGTTCATCTTGGTCCCTGCAGACGCTGGGTGACGGGACGGGTGCCATGAGGCAGGGAGGGGTGGGAGGGAAGCCCAGGCTGACCAGACACCCCCAACCCCACAGCCATGATGGAACCACAGCAAGACACTCGCGGGCAACGCCGGGGACAGCCCCCGAGGCAGCCACCCCTGCCGGCCCCGGCCACCGCACAGCACATCCCGCACGGCCGCTGCCCAAAGCTCTTTCTAAGGAACTTCTCCACCTGCTTCCTGGGGATGGAGAAAGCTGCTGCCCTAAGACAGCGGGTTTCAATTC